TAAAGTTCTTTTGTCTCGATTCTATTTATTCGCATTTAATGAGAAGTCGCGAATAAATGGGATTTTATTCTTTGCTCGGAGCCGCTACGCCTTTGTCTGTCATAAAGAACGGATAACCCTTGCGACAGCAACATACAATAGCGTATCTAATTATGAATATAATTATACATTTTTAATTCTTTTGCTAAGAAAAATTACTTTAAGATGCATAGCCATTTAATAATTACAAGAACTATTAATATCCATATTTATTTTCGCGAAAAATATATAATTATATTTTTCTTACACAAGATATCTTCCTCACAGAGATAAGTGTTGAGTGGACTGACAATGAGTGAAAAAACTAAGGAATTATTGATGCCGGTCATTGACTGTTTCGCCATTATATGAAAGTGTGAAAGAAGGAGTAGGAAACAAAAGGCCGAGACGCGCACGTTAAGTTTACATCGAGCCATCTTTTGCCACCCTCCGTCCCAGCTCTGCCGCCACCGTCGTCTCTCCCTCCTTCCCGCGCACCCCGTGCTTCCACGGAATAAGAAGTCGCTTTCCAGCCCGTAAAAGTGAATGCATAAAAGTGCGCGTCGCGAATGCATAAAATGGCGAATAAACTCCCCGTCGTAGAATATTCGTGCTTACTTCTTCCCTCTCTCTTTCTCGTTTTCTCTTTCTCTCGCATTCCCTCTCTTCCTCAGCCCCGGTACACAAGAGCGTGCGATATATTCTTTTTTCCTTACCTCTATACTATGTCGCGTGGGATGCGTCTATACTCGAATCCGTCGACTTTCACGCGCTTTCCTACTATCCGAACCAATCTTGTATCCCATCCCCGCGGAAACCATTGCGCAAGGTAAGTGCATACTCTCCACACCTTTGACAATATCGACTATATTCGACTCGTGAGATTTTCATCGGCGTATTCTGCGATTTTTGAGTGAAAGGCTACGAACGGGAGAAGATCTCGAGAACGCGGCAAGAAGGGAAGTGAAGAGAAGTGCAGACATTATAATTTTATGAAAGGTCGCGCCGTTTTTATCTCGAAAAATTATATAAAAGAATCAGTTTCTTAAAGGATCCAGAATCTTAATAGGAACAGATGATTTATGGAATCCTATCATCATTAATTATATATGCAACATTATTTTACGCGGATGTATAGATATAGATATATAATCTGGTATGTCTTTCCGATATTAAAATATCAGTGTCAGTGAGGAATGCTAAGCGAGACACATGCAGAACTCAAAGCATTTAGATCGATAAAGAGTTCTTATTTCCAAATTGTATTTTCTCCTCTCATATAGAAATGTATGTGAGAACATAAGCACATATATATACATTATATATATATACAGAGCGTGTACAAAGTTGCTCTCATACATCAAGGCGACTGGATATTCACATTTTTCAGACTTCCCCTAAATATTTTGAAAAGCCTATTCCTCCTTGCGATAGTTTTCGACTTTTCCCCTTTCAATTGATCGCGAATATATTAATCTTCAGTAAAGTATCGGAAATACGATATTGCTACATTGCTAGAGATCGTCGTAAATCACATGATGACGCAGATTCCACGTTTTTTTAACTGCTGTTTTTTTCCGCGCTTAAAGCGAGATAAAGATATATGCATTAATCTTTCGACGCGAGAGAAGGAAGAACGAAAACTATAAAGGAAACGCACAATACAGTTAAACGCAACATCGCCTTTGTAAGGCGATGCAACCAAGTGTGGTAGATGCAACGAAGGAGATGCAACGAGTTTTGCTTGCTCTCTCGTATTTCACATGCCGGTTCACGCGTGCAAACAGCCAGCATGCCGCTTTCTGTACGCCTGCATCGTCGTCACCGCGGGAAGACGTTGTGGGCGAAGTGAGAATGTAAATCAGACGACGCGCGAGCCTCGGAGTTACATGACTCAAGCAGTACGCGAACACCGCACTTTAACACACCGCAATGTAGACAGACGTTTTGCCGACAGCGCAGAGTCCGAAATTTCTTTTCGTTTATTTTGCACGCGACCAAGCATACGATATTCTTTAAATATTCGCCATTTTCTCGTGTGGAATATTTCTCATAATGCCAATCTTATATCGCGTACATCCCGTGATATAAAAAAAAAATGATTTTGCACGACAATAGAATAATATTCTATAACGATATTATTCGATAGCGCGCCCTGATAATATATTCCATTTGATTGTGTGATATAAAATTCGCAGTGAGAGATGCGTCTCGCCACGACGTTATTGCGGGATAAAAAGAGGACGAATTCGAAGCGATTCTCGTTCGATGTGGACCGCGATCGAATCTCGCGAACCTCACGGCGATCGGAAACGACGATTGAAAATATTTACGAGGATGTCAGGGCGCATCATCACTCGAAAGGATCATCCGTTTCCCGCAGTATTTGAGACAGGTATATCCGTTGCGAAAGCCTTTTGCGTCCGATTGGCTCCGATTGATCGCTTTACCTCCAAGTTGCTGTATACTCGACACAATGCGGTTCGACTTTAATATATTGCCGATATTACCGGCTTGCGGAAACGAGCAGCGAAAAGGAGCAACGTGGAAGTGGGACTTGGAAAGGAGCGCGCAAAAAAAAAAGAGAAGAAAAAAAGAGAGAACAACGAGAGATGGGGAAGAGAAAACGTCAGTCTCCGCAAGTTCACACAGGTTTCGAAAGAATCGCACTTCGAAAAATCAACGAATAAAACGTAATATCGACGAACGACCAGTTTTTTTTCTTTTTTTTTTTTTGCGACTCCAGTTTCGCTAACTGGCTCGCTTGCCGGTGAATTGCAAACTGTCGTTAAGCGGTATCGGCTATTTGCATTTCCGTTGCTCGTATTCGCGTGTATGTTCGTTACGCAATATGCGATACTTGAAAAAAGATCGCTTTCAATCACCGGAACGCCGAGAGAAGAGAGCGCGCTATAAAATGTAAATAACCAATTAAACGGCGAAGCTGCATTTAAATGATGTCGAGGTATGCAAAGCTGCCGAGGAGCCAGCTTAGGGATTTTACTCGTCTTTAAATTATTTTCCGTACCAATTCTCCGTCTCCTCCGGTAATCGCAAGCTGGCTGCAGTGCATGAATAAATAAGACGCTCTCGGTAGTGCTTAGCGAGGAAAGGAAGAAAACTGTGTCTTCAAAGAAAAGTTACCTCGTCGGTCACGGTACGACAAGGACAACGTACGAATCCGCTGTGTATGTTAAAATCGAGTCAAATCCGTTTATAGACTTTTCCTTTCGAATCTCGATTGTTCTTATGTAAAATAAAATAAAAATAAAATAAAATAAAAAATTTAATTATCTAATAATATTTTTTAACCGATTAGTTACGCGCCTGTTCTCTTCGCTAAGCTTACGGCTCGGTATAATTCTTTAACGTGGAAAACCATTCTCTCATTCATTCCCGAAACATCGTATTTCTCTCTTTTTTTTTTTTCGCTACCGTCCTGCGCGTCTACTTAAACGCAAAGAACCTTCCGCCGCGACGCGGGCTTGATTTCAATTAAGCACGCTAACTCCACCGAGACACCCTTTCTTCCAGCTGTCGCGTCGCCGATGCTTGCATTCAGCGTGCTGAAAGAAGTCTACTTGTGGCGACGTCGTCGGCACAGAAATGTTACCACGCTTATTTCGCCCGTTGATGAGAAACGCACGGCGCGATGTTGCGAGTAACGAAGTAATGAAATAACATTGGAACATAATGTCGTAATATCAGAAATATCATAATTCTCTGAAGGATATTAATAAATGAGCAACAAAATGCGCGATTCTAAATTGTAAATTACAAGTCTAAACTATATGAGCGCGTAACAGACACGTATCTCATCGAGTACATTGCTAAATTTCGGGTTGACATCAACAGATCAGCCTCCGCCACGGCTCCATTCCCGCAACGTAACATCGTCAATCAAGTGGATACCAACGCCAACCTCTGGCGGAAGCTTCGCGGTCCAACCATGCGTACAAACGCGTTCTACGTAGACACGTACAAACGCATACATATCTATCACAGAACTGTAAAGACGGAGAGAGATGTCTCTTCAGACAGAAAGATCTCGTGTTGTTCCAAGGATGATGCCGATATTATCTCGAGGCCCGTCGAAAGACTCGAGCGACATATGTAGGTATCGCGGGCTTCAGTCCGCTGGAAAAATATTTATTCGACCGCATCGCGGAAAAAGAGATTTCTCTCTTATATTCTGCGACGAACATGCGTACGGCCCGTGTTCTCCCTGGGTGGATGTGAATCGTTTCTTTTGAAATTCTCCGGTAACGAAAAGTTTCGATCCGCTTGAAGCAACGAGCAAATACGGACTCGCAAGTCCAGGAGAAATACTGAAAAGAGAGAAACGTACAACCTTGACGTCGTCTCTGGTTTCGTGTCTTTTTTTTACAAAGGATTTGTGCAACTAATATTGCGGAAAAGAATATATTCACGAACCCATGTATATATGCATTCTGACGTCTCGTGCGTGGTTGCACACACGTGTGTCATCAGTTGCATATCCATACGTAAACGTATAATTCTGATGTTATAGGCGCCGAACTATTTTGGCTCGAAACGTGTTTAAAGAAAACATATACCGTGTTATTTACTGCATTAATTAATTTTCATTCTAACGTGAAATTGTAACGTTACGAATGACTGGAAAGCTTTCGAATTACACACACACGGCGCCTATGTTCGATGCGAAAAGCACCATTTCGCATACGTGGTCGGCGAAATAAATCGACGGGCTGCGGCCACGGTCGATTTGATTTCGATCCTGGAATGGGCGAGAGCATAGTCGAGGCTCACGTTAATTACCAGCAATTTCGGCGTTTCGCCGCTCTTTAAACACCGCCTTGGGAATTAAGCGCCGCGCTATATAGTCAATAGTAGAGAGAATAAGCGGAGGAAAGGGGAAGGGAAAGGGGGTGGAATAGACGCGCTCATTTCTTGCAGCCGTTTACAATTTATAATCCTATTACAAGATTCGGCATACTCACTGGTGCGCGCCGCTCCAAGTCCACGAAGCGAAAGCTCCTCTCTCAAAGGATACCAGAGTTCTAAAACATAGAAACAAAAGAAACTTGAGTATTTTGTACGTATGTTAATTATAGCTATATTAATTATGCGGTTTATTATATCAAATAAAGAAACTTGTGGTTTGAAATAATATTACGATGCCTTTTGTAAAATGTTATAAGTTTCGTATTGGAATCTTATCAGGTTGTTTATCAATGCCAGTGTGCGCGTAGTTACAATGAATACAATTACATTAAAAACAATTTTAATTAGAAATATAAAAGGATATTCTCCATTGCATTATCAACATTAATAATCATGATATTAATTACGACAAGGGTTATCATGGGATAACGAGGAGTAATATCAATTTTCCAGACATTTCTAGGAAGTACATCATTAATGGCTTTATTCGCGTGAGAAGAGAATGGCGGCGCGTTAATTGATTTTTCATTCGACAAAGCCGCCAGAAGCTCTTCAACGTCCCATAGACGGAAAACGAGCAGTTCGCGGTGGAAATCCTCGTGAAAACAGTCGGCGCATCCGGCGACTGGGTGGATCTGAAATCCTCTCAGCGGAAATCTTTCTCCGCTGGAATATTTAGCGGCCGAGCAAGTCGTACAACGGATGCAATGAAAATGTACGAAGAAAATCGCTCCTTCCGTCGATGGGAATTTGAAAGTCTCTCGAGAAACACTTTAATTTTGTGTGAAATGGCGCTGCCGTTTTTTCAAAACCCGAATGGCATGCCGCGTCGCAATATGCTGTCGAAGAAAGAAGCCCCTTTTTCAAATTGAAACCAACGCGGATATTCCATGCAAACGTCTCATTTAACTTACAAGAGGCGGGAACTATCCCGCTACAGTTCATGCAAATGATAATTCATGCTCAAACGTAACGCTATTCGTTTTAACGAACGAACGGGAACGCGAAAGTTCCGGCGAAATTAATTTTCTCACACGACCCTTGTAGTCCCAAAACAGAAATCGCGAGGATCTGGTGCAACTAAAAGCGAGACGCACGTGCAATTCATTTCGCTCATTCATTATAGATTTTAATACCAGTCGCGTCGGGATCTCATCATAAATTAAATCCTGGCAGACGGAACTCCGATAGTACAGTCGAATCTGCACGATACGATCTGAAAACGCGGATTGTAATTTTTGGAAATGATCCTTCCGATTTTCCAAAGTACGATACGCGCTTTGTAGTCGATGTGTTGATTTTAATTTCGCTAATTTAATTTCACACTCAATTTTAATGAAGTTCGTAATAAATAAAAGTATAATATATTCTGAATAAATATTTACACACATGGCATTTTATACGCAATGTATAAAAAAAAAAAACAGCATATAGAAATATACATGTGAGTTGCAATACAAACTCTACATTGTAACACAATGTGACGTACATTTCATTACATGCATATTTATGAAATTTATTAAAATTTTATTAATTCATAATACAGAAACTGTGTAATTGTACTTTATATAAAGGAATATTAAATCAAATTTAAAGCGCACAATTGCAAGAGACGAATTGCAAAATAACAAATATTCGAAACTACGCCAATGTGAATATGCCGGCAAACTCGATGCACGTAGAGATTCCATGTGTTCACGTGACTGTGACGTTCGCACACTCTCCGACGTCCCAGAACCCAGAACATATCCCAGGAGGGCACGCGAGGAGAGGCCATTAAGTGGCACCAGCCAGTTTTCCCGTCGTTTCTTCGCGATACCACCGGCTGGCAATATATTTCCCTCCCTTTTAATTACACGCATTACTTACGCTCGTTAATTAGCTTCTACCCGAGGATCAGAAAGCCGAGGAGGGTGAGTGCCAGACATCGGATGCAAGCATTTGCCTCTCGAGTACTACCGCTCTCCTTCCCACCCTCTACGAGAAGAAATCTCTCTTTGCTTGATTATAATGTCGATCTCACGGTCTTTTAAAAAAATTAATGAAAAAATATTAGTATTTATTTACGATTGAGGAAGTAACGATTATTGCAATTGCATACAGAAATTGCGTGATAGTAAGAAAATATATTGATCTCTTAATCAAGTAATTTGCGCAGCGCAAAATCGGTTTAGTCAATTAGTAACCTTTAGCTTCAATCTTCAATGGATTAAATAAAAGATTTATCGTTCATAATATCGATGAAGAAGAGTTTAAGAATGTCGTTTGATTTCATTTCAATGTGATTATGGAGAATCAACTTTAAAAGCTTTATCGGCCAAGTCTGAGCAAATCCATAAATGTACTTTTTTAAGTCAAGGAAAAAGGAAGTTTTTTTATATTTTCAATCCAGAGAGAGTATCGCGGGGAATGGTCGGGCGGGTGCAGGATCTCAAGTTTCTCCTTCCAATATCTTTCTCCCAATTCTTCTATCGTATCTAAGAAAGCCGGCTTCTTCTCCACTTTAAAACCTAAAGAAGTCGACGCTACCCTTGGAGAAGTAGACGACAACGAAGAGGAAGAAGAATGAGATCGTCGGTAAATCGTTGGCGGAAAATCGATCCTCGGTGACTTTTATACGGCAACATTTCGCGGTGTATTACTATGATATGCCAGGCGCCAAGTACGAACGGTTGAAAGGAAATAAGAGGGAGGCGCGCATTCTTCTCTATTTGCATCGGGACTTGCTATCCTCCTTTCTTCGCGGTCTCAATTACCGATGCGCCATTGTCGGCTTCTTCTTTCAATTTGCCGAATGGCATTCCAATGTATAGTCGGTGAATTACGGTAAGCTACTTATAAAAATGAGGTATAGATCGACTGTGAAGACGTTTGAAAATCGTACAGTTCACTGAGTGTCAAATGTATATGACATCATTTACAATATAATTTGAAATTATATTTGGAAAAAATTTAGAATCGAGCAAAAAGCATTTTTCGTGAAAACCGTATTGCTTTTTATACGCTTGACTTCGCCATCCAACAACACGAAATTGGTAAAATAATAACAAATGCGTTATCTTCTTTCAAAGTACATATTTGCTCGAGTATCGCGACCATAGTTCATAATCTGCAGCTCTCTCCTGAGATCTCGACTATTCATATCGAAAGAGAATGCTTCATGAAGATACATGTACCGAGTTGCCGGCAAATACAGAATCACGGATCCGTGCTAATAATTTCACAAGTTGGTCGATAAATTTCTAGTAAGGAGGTACCATGAAAATCGTAAGCGTAGAAACGCGAGGATTTGACCGTATATCACAATGTGCACACGCGCTAGGGGAAAAAACTTTACCACCCATTGCTAGAAAATATAGCACCCTACGGTATAGGGAGGATTCTACAGCGAGCGCCGCCTGACTCTGTCTCATATGTGCATATATATGTATATATATAACTACTGGTTATGTAGTACAAGTGACTGCGATAAAATATAAGCAGAGCCCGGTCTGAATTGTATTTCGGGGAATAAAATATTATTATGTATCGATTTTTCATAATTTATAAAGTTAAAAGTAAAAGAATCATATTCTTGGATATAAAAGAAATTTTTATAAATCTATTTTTTATTGGAACAAGTTTATTTTTAAAACATTTCTTGTTCAACGACGCTATCAAACAAAATCAAATATGTCAAGCTAGTTTCGAAAAGTAATCTATTGTAATCTCTCTAATCCTGCAATAAAATACATAAAAAAGTACATTTCTCTTTTTTCCAACCAATAGCATATATACAGGATATTCAAAAAGAACCATTCAATATTTATATGGCAGATAGGACACACCATACTGAATAAAAAAAAAACCGTAGTAAACATAGGTCGAAAGCTCAACCGTTTTTGAGATATAAACATTTTTATATGTTAGCATCATGATTGACTTACTGGCTTCTACATGTCGCATGCGACGTGAAAAGAAGATTATCTAAATATTTATCTCGATATTTACAGAAGGTGTTCCACATGTCCTCTTTCCATTTTCTTCCATTATACGCTTGGTACCTTCTTCTTGCGAATCGCAAAGATCCGCAATCGCCGGTTGATGACAACTGACTGATTGCCGATGAAATCTTCTGTTACGAAGTATGTATGGAAATTGAATGAGGACAGAACGCGGTTTATAAACATTGAGGTAAACATCGCATACGACACGTAGAAGCCAGTAGTCAATCATGATACAAACATACAAAAATGTTTATATCTCAGAAACGGTTGAGCTTTCGACCTATATTTACTAAGATGTTTTTACTCAGTATGGTGTCTATCTCAGTATTCTATCTATTATATAAATATCGAATGGTTTTTTTTTTTTAACATTCTGTATATATATATGGCAAGTTTACCAGAAAAAAGATCATCGCGAATGTCTCTTTGTACGAGCAGTTACTTGGGCTTCCATTTGTGTGATCCATTACGTCACTTGCAAACAGATTGCACTATGCCTTTGAACAGAGCTCGACGAATATGGAAGTGTGTCATCGGGTCGTGACAACGGCTTCGTGTGGCGTACTTTTACCGATGCCTCGTTTCACTTTCGCACGGGGCCTACACGTCAGGGTCATTCGCGCCGCTTGTCCGCGTTACGTCGAGTTCGCTCGCTTTCTCTCTCCGTGAACTTGAAATCGAATTATACACGCTTACGCAGCCAAGCGGTTACGCAATTCGTCGTGATACCCAGCGCGTCGATATCTGCCAACGTTTCCAAGCTGGAGCTATTGAAAACACTAACAGCTTTTTGCGAATTAACCCCTTCGATATGCGATGCAAATAGATAATAATAGATAGGTAGTTTAATCTTTATTTTAAGCAGAATTTTTTTTTCATACGCTATCTATTTATCAATGTTAAAAATTCAACATTATAATGAAGAACACGTAACACTGTTCAATGAAATTTTCGCTAAGAACAAATGGCCATTTTACAATGTGTAAATAAACCGCGGATGAAACTTGCGTCCCGTATACACAAACGAAATCGTATAACAGGATTGCTCAGCACAAGAGTTGAACGCCGCAAATTAGATCTGCTTGATTTCTGATAACATTTACCAACTCTCGGTTAGCTTATACACATAC